GGGGGAGGGAAGGGAGGGGTGGGGTGAGGTTCCGTGGAGGAAGGGGAGCACACGTGCCGTTGGCGGGAGCGGGATACGCGGTATTTCTATCCCCGGTCCCGGCGCGGCGCGAAAGGGGAATCACGAGGAGGGCGAGAGGAACAGCACGGGGAGAGCGAGAGAGGTGGCGAGGGGAGAGCGAGAGTGACGGAACGGGGAGAGTGAGAGGGACGGCGCTGGGAGAGCGAGAGGGACGGCACGGGGAGAGCGAGAGTGCTCATCGATACTTGCCGCCCTGCGGACTTTCAGCCCGCAGCAGTGCAAATCAGCCCCGTTGTGACGGCCGCGACCGGCGTCTCGCCCACGCCCAGCCCACGCGTCCCTCTCGCTGTTTAAAGTCGGAACTCGAAATTGGAAATGTTTTGCGGCGGCCCACAGAACCCGGAATATTTCGTAGGTATACACTGTGCCGCATATGCAAAGAAGCGTGTGGACATATGGCTACGTCCTGTAATTTTACAAGCAGTAGTACTTTTGCCAGACTTACTTGGCAACCAGTATACCCAGACTTTTTCTGTAAAATCTCCCCCAAAATCTTTATCAGACTCGCAAGTCACCAAGGCGCCGTGGTGATAGACGGCAGGGCGAGGGGTCGACCTGTCAGATTTTTGGTGAACATGGAATATCTGGGATATTTTGTGGAATATCAGGAATACTTTTGGAATACCTGGAATATTTTTGGAATATCTGGAATATTCTTGGAATATCTGGAAATTTTTGGTGGAATATCTGGAAAATTTTTGTGGAATATCTGGGATATTTTCGGAATATTTTTAGGCGAATGCATGGAATATTCAAGTGGTCCACCCCTCGCGGCAGGGTATACAAGCCCGCCCACGCGGCTACATGCGGCACAGTAACTACGACTTATTCCGGAGTCCCTGGGCCACCCTTTATTGGCGCGGTGTAGCGAGGGGCGTGCGGGAAATAAATGGGGATCCACTTTGACGGTTCCAGGAACGTGCTACGAGCCGCCACTCACCAACGTGTTCACCATGCAGTGGTTCCTCACCCTGTTCTGCAACTGCCTTCCGCAGCCCGTCGTGCTCAGGGTCTGGGACCTCATCTTCCTCGAGGGGAACCAGATCCTGCTGCGCACCGCCCTGGCGATATGGGACCACCTGGCAGAGTGAGTCTCATGATTGCGACGGTCTATTTTATACTTTCAAGATTGATCTGAATGATTGTGGTTTATATTTTTGACTACATTGCAGGCGCATCATGACGGTCAGCAGCGCGGATGAGTTCTACAGCATCATGGGCGTCCTGACCCGGGAGATCCTCGAGTTCAGCCAGAACGACTCCAACCGTCTCATCAAGGTGGGTCGCGGTCGCGGCGCACAGTGCGGTGCGGTTGAACCGCATCTTTACAAACTGAGCCTGTTGCAGACGGTGGTGGCGATGCAGTGCCCCGAGCTGCCCGCTCTGCGGGACAAGTACATGTACAACATAACGCCCTGGACCAGCACCGTGTCCTCCGGGCTGCGCCGAGGCCTACGGCTCTTCTACACGGAGGACGACTCGGGCGACTCGGGAGACAACTCGGACCAGGACGATGATGAGAGGATCGCCGTGGCCGCCGCTTTCGGCATCGCCGACCTCTTTCGATCGCCCAGGAGACGAGGTGAGCTCGGCGAGAAAGATGGTTACTGTTAGGGGTATTCCACGGTGTTGTATAGGAGAGTCACGAGGAAAGGAACATGACAAACAGTCCACTTCCCATGAGTTTTCGTCATCCACTCTGCTGAGCCCCATATAAACTCTCCGTTACTGCTCGACGTACAGGTAAGGTACTGTAGGTTCGTACACTGACGTCGTCCCCCACCTTACCATACGTCGTCGTTCATCCCTGCTGGTAGAGCTCTGGACAACTTATCTTGACAGAAAGATTTCAGTCCGCGCCAGAAGTGCAGCCCTACCCGAGCCTACCTGCAGCCCGAAAGCGCACCATGTGGCCCCCGGGCCGAGGGTGGCCTATTGTCTGCCGCTCCTGAGCGGACTGTATTTCTTTTGTTCTCCGGGTGTGATCTCCGAGGCAACTTTCTGTCAAGATAAGTTGTCCAGAGCTCTAGCTGAAAACTCCATTTACAGTCGTAGTGATACTGTGGCGCCAAAAGTTTGCGCGTTGCTGGGTTGCCTACTCGTTCGGCTGCAATGGTCGGAGCCAAACAAAGCCCGGCCGGCCGGCTCATAACTTTATAACTACGTAAGTGAGCGAGGTGTTTCGGCCACCTGTTGCAATTGTGGCACGTGTACAGACTAAACAAATGCGCGAGAGACTTTAACTCACCCTAATTTGCAAGGGAGACCCACGTATTACAAGTTGTTTCTGGGTTCGAAACGGTGGCCTATGTTTGTTCCAATGCGACACGAAGTCCGGTTTCTTTCTCTCAATTTGCACTTTGAAACGACGTTCGCTTGGGTTTGCAGGGTCGGTGAACGCGGGAGGCAGCGGGCACCGGGGGGCGGCGGCCGGGGCGGGCCCGCTGGCGGCCATGCCCGCCCCCGACCGAGAGCGGGAGCGGCTCTCCCTGGACGTGTCCATGCTCAAGCAGCAGTACTGCCGCCTGCGGGAGCGTCAGCGGCAGGCGCACATCATCGTGACGGCGGCGTGCGGCGGCCTCGGCGGCCTCGGGGGCCTAGGGGGCGGCTCGTCGGGGCCCCTCAGCGGGCCCTCCGTGGCCATGAACCACCTCCTGATCGGCAAGCCCGCCCTCCGCAGCGCCAAGGGCCGCCGCCTGCCGCCGCCTCCGGGGGCCGTGCCGCCGCCCCCCACCAAGACCGCTGCAGCCGCGTCCGCGGCCAAGCGTAAGTGCACCGGCCCGCGGTGGCCCAGCCTCGCACGCACACGACAAGCTTTGCCGCGCCCAACCTCTTCGACCTCGCTCAGAATTGTTTCGCTCAACGAAAGCAGCAGTCGCATGTTTTTGTTTGTGTTTCCAGTGACGCTTTCCGCGCCGCTGTTGCTGCTGCTGCTGCTTCAGTCGCTAAATTATTCCAGCAGTTCACGCAGTTCTCGAGGCCTTGGCTGTTTGCGGTCCGACTGGGACCAGCGGAATGGCGCGAAAAGTTTGACTCGTGTTTCGTTTCCAGGGAACAGCCTGCAGCCTCGGCCGGTGGAAACTCTTCACTGGAAGGACGAGGACAAGCGCAGGAAGTCGCTGGCGGACGGTAAGTCAATCATAACTTTGGTCCAAGCTGATCGGCCGGCTCACCGCGCCATTGGTTTTGCTGGGCGCCTCTCACACCCCCGCTCCCGCTTGGCTTCGCTTTACCGGGACCTCGACCTTATCGGCGAGTGCAGCCTACTTCCATTCCGCCTTTGGCCCGCGTCCCGAGCTTGCCTTTTAAGATGTGGCCCGATCAAACTGACCCGGAATTGTTTCGCTCTTTATAATTAACTAACGGGCGTCTTCTAAATGTATTCCCTTTTCCGATCAGGAGGGAGCGAGCTTCCGGTCGAGCGTCCCAGTCGGCCACGCTCCCGGTCCGGAAGCGCGGGCAGCCAGCGCAGCAGCGGCAGCAGCGCCGGGTGCAGCAGGAGCAGCAGCAGCACCTCGACGGAGCTTTGCGACGACCCGGGAGCGCCCAGCGAGGAGGAGGAACACGTCGACCTCGTGCAGTGGGATTCCAAGACCGACGGCCAAGTGAAAGGGCAGAAAAGGGCGACTCAGACTTCGGCGAAACTACTGGACGAGTCCGTCTCGGAGGCACGCGGGCCGGAATCGCTGTTGCTGGATGAGGACTCAGTGCTCCTGCTTCCGGGGCTGAAATCGGAAACACAATTAGATTCCCAAAGTAAAACGACATTGGATACAAATTCAGAAGAGAAGTCGCAGGACGTCGACCTCCTTCAGATGGAACACCTTGTCGAAGACCAGAGCCTGAACTTGCTGCAGGCCGAGGTGAGGTATCAGACATCCGCCGTCTTCGAGCTCGAGGCCGTGGCCGAAGTGAACCAGTGTGCGGGGGACACGGAGACTAGCAGCCTGGAGTCAACTGGAGAGGGCATCCTGGTGGAAACCGCGAAACTCCCCGTGGATGCCGATGTGTCCACACGACAAGAGTTGGACGCGTGGATGACGGCGTTGCGAGACGACATAAGCGATCAGCTGACGCCAACAACAACCGCCGCCGAGGACTCAGGGGAGTCACCGGATAAGGTGGTCGCGTCGGTGACAGAGAAACTCAGGCTCATCATGGAGCACCTGTCGCGCTCGCCGTCCGAAGACTCGAGCGCCATGCGAGAGTCGTCGTCGCCGACGTCCACGAGCTCGCGAGAGAGTCGTCAGCGCATCATGGAACGACTCTTCGGGCGCGAGGGGTCGTTCATGGAGGAGAGCGGCGACGAGGGGAGCGTGGCCTCGCTCAAGTCCAGCGCACTTGAGTTGGACCTCAGCGAGCTGCTCGACGAACAAGAGGAGGAAGTGGGTGGGCGAGACGCGGAGCGAGCTCGAAGCGCGGCCGGGGACGTGGAGGGTGTCACGGCCAGTAGCAGACGAGCCAAGCGCCTGGACCGTCAGAACAGCGAGCGAGCATCCAGGATCATCCGCGAGAACTCAGAGATCTTGCAGCGCATCTCGGCCTGGCAGCGCAGTGGACGCGCCTTCACGCTGCCTGAGCTCAGTGAGCCTCCCGACCTGCTCTCGTCCAGCTGCCCCGTGCACAAGGGGCCGCCGACGACACTGCTCGAGGATGAGGAGGAGGTGGCGGCCGCCCCGGTCGCGACCCTCAGCCGCGCCCTGTGCAGGGACAAGAGCCAGCGAGTCCCCGCCGACCTGCCTCTGTCGAAACAAGCGTCCCTCGACGAAACATGTAGATCCAGCAGAAAGGCCACGGTCAAGACCGTTGAGAGGATGCAGCTCATCTTGGACCACGGTGAGACAGAGGCCTCGCCCACCGCGTCGCAGAGGCACACGTTCAAGCCCACTTACAAGTTCCCCGAGATGTCGCCCCTCACCACGTCGCCGCTGCAGCCGCTACCAGGCGCGCACATACTCCGTGTCCCGGAGGCCGAGCGGGCCGAGCCCAAGAAGTGGCGGCCAGAGCTAAGTCCACCGAGCACCCCGATGGTGGAAAAGGCGTTGGCCTCTGCCAGGGCGTCGAACACTTTTACCTCCGTCTCCACCACCTCCTCCGCTCCCCCGTCGTACCTCGCCCCCCGCGGCAGGACGGACGAGGCAGGCCGGTCCCCCACTGACAGACCTAGGCCCGTGGTGGGGTCGGTCCCCCTGGACGCCCCCACGACGCTACCCGTGCAGACGCCATCGCTGCCTCGCGAGGGACCCCAAGAGCCGCGTGAGGCATCGGAGGGGCCACAGAGGGGTGCCTCACCGCAAAGCAGCCCACCCGGCAGAGCCGCAGGGAGGCGCAAAAAGGCCGACAAATCTCCTGACGACGCCGGACCCCCCACATTCAATCCATTCCCGTCCAGAAGCACCGTGCGTCAGCCCAAAGACATTGGAGTGAAGCTCGGCTTATATCCAAGCTCGGCCCCGGCCTCGGCTACCTCTCCGACCACAACGTTAGCCTCGGCCAAAAAGAGCGAGATAAGGCCATCGTAGTTGGAAGAAGCGAACCCAAGACTGACAAACCCTCCGCGCGACCCTGTCTTCCTGTTAGTCCCCAAATAATAAGGTTTAATGCACACTTCTGCGGGTTACTATGCATGCTCAGCCTCTGGCATCAGAGGGGCAAAGTTGTCTGTCTTACTGAGAAGTATATTCCATAAAATGGTTTTCCTTCCATCACTTTCTTTCTTCGCGAAATGATAAATAATATTGCTGAAGTGGCTCATTGTGTGCTCTCTATTTAGCATTGAAGCAGGTGTGAATTTGTTGAATTTGTCTCTGGTCAAATTCAATCAAAAATAAATAAATGGCGAGCATAGACAAATGTTTGTGTGCTAGCATTCGTCTTTCGATCTTCGCTGTTTTGGGCTGCTATCTTTATCTGTTCCTGTGATTTACGAGTGATCCTATTTTATAGTTTGCTTTGACGCCATTAATAGAAATAAATGTTGTCTGAAAAGAAATGTTCGTAAAATGTTTCTGGCTGTACTGTTGCAGCCTGGTCCTTCCTCGAGCTTGAAGTACTTGCAGCAACCTGCAACCACTGTGTATCTGAGTCAACCATAGTTATTAACAACTCTCTGATCTGAACAAGATGATATTCTTCATTGATATTTGTTGAAGGAAAAAATAGACAAGATACTAAAACAAAAAACTCCACAAGATTAATTTTGAGGGACTTTATTTCCCAACATCCCAAAACTCAGATTTAAAGATAATAGATTTGTTTGCTAGAGAATCTCATAACAGAAGTGCAGCGGGAACCTTAACCACCACACCTTGAACAACAGACCATACATAAAGCACATCAAAGAAAATGAAATAATTATCACAAAAACAAAAGATTCTGGATGTATGCATTAGATAACTGAAAGAAGCTGAAAACCCTGACAAATCTAATTTGCTAAATTACAGATTTATATTTTTTCTTTTCCTATCAATACTGCAAATATTGTACACAACACATGATTCCTGTGTAGTATACACATAAACGTAAATCTAATCTATTTGCACATATAATA